AGTGGTGGTACAGTTCTCAAATCTCATCTCAAGCAGGGATCATGACATCACATGACCTCCCCACTACTCATGAGGTAAGACGGTTAGGCGTTACTTCCAACAATAAGTGTTATAGGTCAAATTGAAGGTAATATAATCTTTATATAAGCTTTACCATAAAGTTTCCAGAAATGAGCTCTTTTCTGTCAGTCAAAAGTTATTCACGGTTAAAGTTACAAAACTTGAAATTTACAAAATTTTGAAAATTTTATTAGCCGCCATTTCTAAACTAATTAACCGATTTTGCTCATCTCCGAACTCGACTTCGGTAACTACCCAAAGAATATGTGTACCAAGTTTCATCAAGATCGGTTGAAAACTTTTCGAGATATCCTGATGACGAGGCTGGTTATATTACATATATATATATTACATATTTCTAACCAATGGTGTTTTTGAAACTTATTTGACTAATTATGACATATGATAGCAAAATCAGGTGAAAATTCCACCATGAGGACTAATGCAATAGTTAGATTTCTAACAAAATCTACCTAAAAAGCGAGGATCTGTGCTGCCCGGCCAGAAAATATGCGTACAGCGCGCATACGCCAGAGCAAGCCACAAAAGTTGCTTTCTGGAGTAAAATGCGTCCCGAAAGAGCGTACTTTCGGCTAGGAGAGCAAGAAAAAACATTACACAAGAATTTATTTCTATCTTAATTATTCTCAGTTAAATCTCGCATTAATTATATAATGTATAAAACTTAAAGTTTCCAAAACTTACTTGGAATTTTTTCAGCGCAATACAAAGTTATGCAATATTCATGGTAAATTCAAATTAACGCGCCAGAAACAGCACAGTGACGTCACAACAATCACATCACGTTTTACGTTACGTGACTTTTATGTAATTTGAGACCACTTTTATTTATTAAATTATTTAAATATTTATAAACAAAAATAGAATATTTTTTTTTCAAAAATTCTAAAAAATTATTTACAATTTAAAATCATCAATAGTTAAGCAATATAAAAATCATGCAAATACCTAATTCAACCCTTTCGTAGAATTTTACTATTTTATTTCAGAGGATTCAATTTAGTCCAAATTGGGTTCTTAATACTGATTTAGTTCAACATAAAACAATTAAAATCTGAATATATTTCATAATCTACTTCTTCTAGTAAATTCTATAGTGGTGAATAAGCCTGAGTTTGCTTTGGCTTCAAAACTTGGGCCAGGCTTGATTAAAAAGCTTGGGCCAGTCCTCGTTAACAAACTTGGGCCAGTCTTGGTTATCAAGCTTGGACCAACCTTGGCAACCAAGTTTTGCACCCTGTTATCACTCCAGACTTCTACCAAGGCTGGGTCAAAGCTAGTTTACAAACCAGGAACAGAGTGTTAAAACGTTGCGTCAAGCTTGGCCCCGTCGTAATCTCCTGTCTCGGGTATACAGTATTGTAAAATACAAATGATTGTGATACAATTAAAACGCTGATTTAAAAAAAAAATTTCATTTAATTACTTTTTTTATTGAATTATTAATAATTACCAACAGTTAAATTTGTTATTTTAATCGTAAATAAAAATAATGAATTTTAATAACTATTAGAAGAATTGAGAATGCAGAAAAATTAAAATCACTATTTTGACTCATTTGTTACACTCAAACCTCCATATGAAAAAAAGAATATACATCAGAGGTGACTGATAGTCTGAACAGCGTATCACCATAAAGTAAATAATAGATTATACTCGATAACTTATTGAAATAAGGTAAAATGTTATTATATATTTGTTTGAGAATATAGAATATACGATATTCACAATCTGAGCATTTCTTGTTTTATAGTTAAGTGTAAGTGATGAATTGGGTTTACATCCAAAAAACAATCAAAGTTATAAATGTGTATCATTAACTTAAATTTTTTTTTTTTTTTTCATCGTTAATCATACTTCAATAAGTAGACAGATAACGTCAAAGTTTAAATGCAAATATGCAGACTTTTATAGTTGAATTCAAAAGTCCAGAAACAACACACAGTAAGAAAAAATTATTGGTTCTAGAATAAATTTTCTCAACTCAAGAAAATATTTAAAAAGAAAAAATTCATCTCAAATTGAGTTAGGATTTCTTAAGCCGAAAATATTTTCTTGTTTCAAGAAAATTTCTTCTTACTCCAAAACAACTTCGGTCTTCCTTAGAATTTTTTCGGTTTAACCCTTCGTAGGTTGCGTGATTTTACTGAATGATTTCCGTAGCGTGGTGAGCGTTACCTAGCTGTATGATTTAAATGGGACAGCAGTGACACTTAGTCATACCGGAATTTAAAAAAATCTTTATCGTTCACTCGCACCGTATTCCACGGCGCCAACCGTGTTGAAAAATCAATTTAAAAATTTTTCTAGAACATTTTAAGACATATTTATTGCTTTTACATTTTCAGAAAGGTTCAAAGAAAGAATTACATTTTTTTCAGAACTTTATTTTAAAATATTATTGATGAAATGTAAAAAAAAGGGGCGCCACGCTCATTACGCGACCTACGAAGAGTCCAGTATTCTTTTTTGTCTGTACACTAGAAGCTGTGATCTAATTAACGATAATAAGTAACGTATTTTTCTTGTGCTTATATATTTTTTTTTAATTGCATCACAGACGTGTCGTTGTTTTTAAGAATAAAAAATTTAATGGAATTAAAATTTTTTTTAATAAAATGTATTAAACTTTAAAATTGCATTTTATTAATAATCAATATTAATGATAAAATTAATTTCTTTGTGATTGTGTTAAATAGACATACACATTCAACATTACTAATTACTAAGTAAAGTATAACATTTAATATTTTTCAACTGATTTTTCTCTTTTTATGCATATCGCTTATTGTTACAATTTATCATTAAATAGTTGATTTCGATAAATACGATATAAATATTAAATAGTTGTAGTTCTTCAATATGAATTTTTTCGTTTAGTTATAATTTACAATAATTTCTTAAACATTTTACGCAGAAATTTGTCACGAAAATATTATTTATAAAATAAATAACATCAACTATTTTTTTTTTAAATATAAGGAATGTTTTTTTTCTTATGCGTTTTAAAAAAATTGGAAACAAAAAGTTAATACGAAGCATATATTTTCATTTTTTTCAATACAATAGCATATCATGTTATTTATTTTAATTATAACTATTAACCTCAATACTAATTGTAAATTGTGTAATGAGGTAAAAAACAATTACGCGTGGTTAGCGTATCGAGTCATACTTTAAATTAACCACAATTTTCAGATTTTAACTTTAAGTTCAAATACCACTACTTTCTGTTCGTAAATTTATACTGCTATCATGTAATAAACAGTCATTAAGTCATTATAAATCTCAGAGTTGGTTTTCCGGACAAAATAGTTGATTAAGATATCCTTTAGGGTGTTAAGAAGGAACCGCAAAATTTCTTTTTGAATTTTTTATGAAAATATGTTAGTTGAATGTGCTTTTAAAATACTCTCCAAAAATCAGCTAGATTAGAAAATTTTTAGAGATCACTTCTATTACCAAATGAATTGTTCCTAAGTTAACATAAATATTTTTTTAATGCTAGCATAGTAAAAATTAGTATGTTAACACAAGAATTTTTCTTCTGTTAACATAGTAGAAATTTTTATATTAACATGAGAAGTGTTCCTATGTTAACATAATAAAATTCCCTACATTAATTTAGAAATTTTTTCGATGTTATAGAGTAACTATTTCAATGCTGGCGTGGTAAAAATTAGTACGTTAACATAGGAATTGCTCTTTTCTTATGGCAACATAGTAAAAATTTCTATTTTTAGATAAGAATATCTCTTATGTTACATAGTTCTTTTTCGAATGCCGGCATTGTAAAATTTAGTGTGTGAACATAGGAATATTACCAATGAAAAAAAAATTTTTTTTCCGTACTTACGTATTTAGTATAGATTAACATATTCACAATTTAGATTTTTATCAATTCATTGCCTTAACGTTCGAGTAACCTTAAGGAACCCATGCAAATTTTTAGCCGATTTTTTAAAGTGCTTTAAAAATATAATAAACTGACATTTTTTCCAAGGACACAAAATAAATTAATCGGTTTTGTGCATCGCCGTCATGAAGAATGGTACTACTGGAGGTATTAAAACTCAAAGTTCCATCCGAGAATTATGTTGAAAAAGAAACATACAACTACATCTGCGCGAAACGCGTAGGCCACTGAAAAATCCATGTAACATTTATATAACAAAGAACATTTGCTTTTTATTAAGCATCGACAAATTTAACTGCTATAAATTTAACTATTTATTATTATTTTCTTTCATTCGAAACTCAACTTTGTTACTGCTAAAATATTAGATATGTAATTAAAACAGGTATTTTTATTGGATATAGTTCCTTTTTATTTTTCTTCTAATTTTCATTGAATGTCGTTTTCATTTAAAACATTAAATAGCCTTACTAATTTTTTTTTCATCTCATGCCATTAAAACCGGCACTCATTTGTACTTGTGTACCACTTGTTTTGCAACAAACGAAACGTGGCAAAGTTAGCATTCCCTCTCCACTGATGCCAGTAATTGAGTACTACACTTGTGAAAATATAATTTACGTAACGGAACACATTTTAAAATAAGTATACATGTGTATATAAAATTTAATAATGATATAAAAGTATCATTAATAAATAATTATCATATTAGTATTCATGTTAACTTTTTAAAATTAAGTTTAATTTCAATACAACTAGAATAAAAAATTCGAAATGCCATGAAGCTAATTAATGAATTCAATATCAGAAAGTTTCAGTTTATAATTATAACATTCCAGTATTATATAATGCGAATCACAAAGTTTATTTCAGTTTGGTGTACTATAAATATTTATTAAGATAACAAGATTTTTCGGATTGCATCGGTGGATGAAAAAAAAATAAATGTATTCCAAATAAAGAAAGTATGAAAAATTGAAGAACAAATTTAAACGCTAACGATTTAGTCGTAGTTTTCGGATTCTTGTTGAACGAGTTTAAAACGCCGTGGACTTTTAACTGCCATCGAACCGTGCCCTTCTAGTGACAAGCGACCTTTTGTTTGCAGATATTTGGTAATGTATCGTGACACTAAAATTTGCGGTCTCTTCTGCCACTCTTCTAAGACTTCTTTCGGTGCCATAAGCTAAAAAAAGAAAAAAGCAAAAAATTAATGTACAGAATTATGAATCTTTATTGCACACCTCAAAGTATAAAGCTACTCTTAATTTGATACCAAATTTAGCTACAAAAATTTCTTTCAAAATAGAAATATGCCCATCACAAGTTGGGAAGTTATTGGTTTTACCCCGTTTTTTGAAAATCGAGTTTCCAACGGATGTTGACGTTTTGAGGTCTTAGGAAACTTCCCCGAATGTTTCAGCATGCTTGCGCGCGCATGTGTGTGTGTGTGTGTGTGTGGCCATATGTAAACTGCTTATAATTTTTTAACGGCTTGACCGATTGGAACCAAACTAGTGGCGTTTTAAAGAATTCCGTCAAACTTAGATTTCCTGTGATTTTGAACCGGTTTGGACCAGTAGATTCCGAGAAATCACAAAAATTAAAAAAAAAAATTTTTGTCAAATATGATTTTTTTTTTTGGAGTAACTTTTAAACGACTTAACCGATCGATTCCAAAAAACTAATCATCTCTTAACATAAAAAAACCATGTCGGTCGCCATCGGGTTGGTCAAAATCAGTTGATTCGTTTGTGAAATCGTTGGCGAAAAAATTCGGAAAAAGTGAATTTTTTTCCACTTGCTCCAAAATTTTCGGTCTGATCAATTTGTGTTTAAAAGTAAGTCATAGGATTCAAAAGAATGCATTGAATGCCATAAACTGCGAGAAAATCGATTGATTCATTCAATAGTTATTGTGGTTTGAAAATTCAAAAAATAGTGTTCTGTGAAACTTCTCTTCGAGCTCAAAAGTATGGAACAGCTCGGAGAGCTCAAAGAATATATCAATTATATTTTTGAACTCGATGAGCTCAAAAACGTCATAAGTGCAATTTCAAGCGCTTAGGTACGGAATTAGCGGGAAATTGCAGGGATGACCTTTAGAGTCAACCGTTTACCTAATTTTTTTCTTCGTATCAGTAATGAAAATAATAAATTTTCTTTATTCATTTTACTTCAAAAATTAACAATAAAATTGTTTTTTTTTTTTTAATTAAATGAACGGTTTGGAGGTGTGCACTTCTAATTTTACAGAACTTTATTAAGATTTTTAGTGTAAGTCTTTAGTCGTAATTTGTTTATTTATATTTACCTGATCACCTTTCAGTCTATCTAGCAAAGTAACACATACAATGGCAGATCTAATACCAGCATGGTGCGTAAGCGCTGCAAAAGCTACAGCTTCCATTTCAATATTAACAACACCCGCTTTCTGCAGCTTTTGAAGATACTCCATTTTATCATTTTCCGTAAACTCGCAGAATGCACCATCAAGACGACCTTGGCCTTCATAAAAGTCGTGCGTACACATGGTTTTTCCGATTACCGTGTCGTACGGATCCTCTGGATGCGCCATTGCGTTCAACTCCTTAACCAACTGTTTGTCCAATTTAGCTGGTCGTCGAACCATTTTTCCCAATATTGGCTGTAATTTCGAAAAAAAAAATATGTATTGCCATGCTTAAGGGATAATAGGGAAAAATTCGCGATTTTATTCCACTTATTACTATTTTAACTATTTTTAATCAAAGCAATCAAATTTTGCAGAAACTATTTGTTAACATTATAAATAAATTTGTTGGATATCTCAAACGCGAGCGCGAAGGTACAGCACAAAGGGCATGCTATCTTATCGCCTAAAAATCAAAATGCCAAAGTTTTTATCACATTGAATCATTTTTGACAGTCATATACAGGGTACAACAATCCATATATCCTTTCAAAGAAAAATGATCGGTGAACTAGTCAAAAAAATTTTTTAAATAATTAATTGCTATTTTTACGTAAAAAAAAGTGGTAGCAATAGCTTATAGAGTGGATTTCTCAAGTCTTTATGAAGGACTCATCATGATAACTTTTAAATCAATTTTTAATTCAATTTAGTATTTAATTTCCTTATCTGCCTTATGGAAAGTAGTAAAAATTGCGGCTTAATACTGTTTTGTAAAATTACAACTCATTTTTTTCGGCTGACAGTTCAAAAAATTTTCTGTCTTTTGAGCAGCCATGGATAAAAATTTATTTCATTATACACCTTAAAGACATTTAATACTACAGGGTACACACTCCTTTATTTTGCTGGCTGACCGCCGATCATCTAATCTTTAATTGATTCTTTTTTAATGATTTACGCATCGGAATAAGAGATGGCGCTCCATTTGCATGAAAAAAAAATATTTTCCCCGGAAAAAAATTTAAACGAGCTTTAAAATTGAATTTGAAATAAAATATATTCCTCGTAACTTATTTGTAATCACTAATCAACCTATTATTAGATACTTATAATTATAGATAATTATATTTCTTACCTACGTTTGGTATAAAATTCTTGTAAAGTTCAAAATAGCATTAAGGTTATTAGTGAAAAGTTTTTGTATATTTAACTTTGCTTTGATCAATTTATGTATGACACGAGCGCTGAAGGCATGCATGCGCACTTGGATTTACTAAACTTTTTTTAATTTCTTCTTAAAACTTAATGTAATTATTTTAAGTTATGACATGTCTTTGTACATAAAGTTTCAGTCAAGAAATAAAATCTCCATTTAAGAAAGTAAAATTTTTGCTACAACAAATCCTGCAAAGATTTGACATTTTTTATAATTTTGAGAGAAATAACAAACATCAATTCAACCTGATGATAAGCTGAGTAGCTAAGTACACATTATGTGGAATGAAAAAGCTCTTAATTATTAGTTTTCAAAATTAAAGTATATTTTTGATAAATGGTTAATAAAACTTTAATTTTTTAAAAAGAAAAAATAGTGACATAAGAAAAAATAAATTAAAGCGATAAAATGAAACAATGGATAAACCAATAGAATATTTTCTTACCACTTCATAGTATGATTTGAGCATTCCATCAACCGCCTCTTCACTGATAACAACAGTACCACCTTCAAGACCAATTCCACCGCATGTTCCGATTCTGATGAATATAGGATCACGAACTTTTGCATGATACATGAGTTTGATAACTTCGTGCAACAATATTCCGACAGACGGTATTCCCATTCCATGCTAAAGAGTATGAAGTATCAATTAATTATTATTAATATTTTTGTTCTTATAAAAGTAGATTTTGAAAAAGAGTAATGCTTGAATCAAGTCAACCGGTTTTCTTTAAAATTAGTTTGTTCTTGGATTGAAAATTTTCCTTCTGAGGCAAGTATTTTTTTTTTCTTCAGTGTACCTTGATATTTTTTTAGTAAATTTGGATTTGATATTTTTTGTAAATTTGCTTTGAATTTTGGCAATATAGTGAACCGTTTTTTATTATCTGAGTTGTTTTATTCACACCAACAATAAAATGTTAATTTCAAATTTACACGCATCAATGGAATTCATCAGCCAAATTTGAATATGGATTACTTCCATTTATTTAATCAAGAAATTTAAGAACGTATTATTCTCAATTCTGAAATGTGCCAATATTATAAATGAAACAATCCTTTACAATAATATTATTAGCATTCTCTTCAATTTGTTTATTATGAACTTCGTCTTACATTACGGCGTTATAAAATTTTATGATAGTAAGTATTGTATGAATTAATATTATATTACATGTGAGAGTATGAATGTATCGATATGATAAAAAAAAAAAAAAATTAGATAAAAGTTAAGATATCATTTCAATTGATATCGGCTTTTCATTATTATTTAAAGTATCAATATATAATGGCAATTGAAATACTTACGCTGATTGATAAGACTGGACCAACTTTGTACATAGAGTAACGATAAGAGTATTGGCTGATATCCAGTAGAGTAGTACCAGTCGGAAGCTTGTGACCTATTTCTTTCATAATGAAATTAGCGAAATTCTCCATCCGCTTTGGTGTTCCTCCCATGCATACAAACTGTGATTTAATAAAAAATAAAACAAAATTAATTTTTTATATCCAGTATCAAAATGTATTCATTTATCTTTTTTAAAAACGAAATTTTTATAATTTAGAGTTATATTTGATCGTTAAATATATCTTGAAGCTATAATTAATTTTCTATCATGGATAATTTACGTTTTTTTCATTTTAAATATTTCGCGGTATTTCCTTTACTCACTAATAAACCCACTGATACTATAACGCACATGCGTATAAAAAAATATACTTGTTTTGTTTTATCAACATTCATTGATTTTCTTAGCGGAAAGTAAAAAATTATTTAATTAATAGAATTTTTTTCTTGTTATCGTATTTTCAAGATTTTCATACATATTACGTTCCGAGAAAAGTATTATAGACTCTTGACGTTTTTTGTTTTTTCTATTAGGTTCAACAAATTTCAAGAAATTACAAAATTAATTTTGATAAAATTATCACTTCAATGGTATGCCAGCTGTTTAGGTTCTGAGAATCAACAAATAAATAGAATTAATGAGAAAATACGAAGAAAATTTTTTTTGTAAAGCTTCTTTTAAGGCTTAAACTTCAAATTTGAATAATGTGTCGTGCAAAACTAACAGTAAATAAATTATTTTTTCTAAAAATATAAACTTGTAAATAAATTAGTAAAGTAAAGAATTTAATTTTATTTATTTCAATAATTTAAAAATTTTTAATGCAACTTTTTCGTTTCGATTTCTGATCATTCTTTATAGAAAGTCAGTGACTTAACGAAGAAATAAATATAAGAAATTCTAAATATTTAATTCGATATTCGGCATCTCTTATTAGTGAAATCAGTATCAATGCGATAACATTAAACTCGTTATTGCATACTATATCATTATTATTTTAATTTATCGCAGTTTATTTATTAAACTATTGAAGTCGAGGACATTTTTTATTAATGCGAGATAAAACTACACTAACGTCTTTATCGCAATAAAAAGAATTTAATCTATCATAAACAGATTACAATTAACGAAATAAATTATTGACATATTCTATTCATGTTAAATGCTAATAAAATTACTTTCAATAACTGACTATTGTACCTTAATGTCACCAAACATTTCAACTAGATCATGAGAACCACTCCCAAGAGCTAGATGGTAAAGAATGTCTTGGTCCATTAATTCAATGTTGGGATTCCTTAGCCGTACTGAACCATCGCTGTACCTTAAGTAAACATAAAAAATTATTTTTAAATTTTTAAAATAACATTATTTCATAGGTAGCACGATTATGATGAATTTCTATAGATTGTTACTACTTTACTTTCATTGTATAAAATTTCACTTGTTGTTGCACTGAAAATAAATTACTTGGTTCAAGAGAAATTTTTATTTTTAAATTTTACTCTTGCTTCAGAATATTTTACATTTGAATTTATAAAAGGAGTTCACTCTTAAATAAACCAAAAATTCTACAAAAAAAATTTATTTTATACCTTAATTAACTAAAAAGTCTGAATTACAGTTCAAAATATATTGAAGTTAAAAATTCGTTTTTTCAAACAATTTTTTTTTTGTTAATTTAAATAAAGAAACAAATTCTTGATCCTTGAAGTCAAAAAGTCAAAATTCGTGAATTACAATAACGGATTTTTTTAACAATTAGTTTCTTGTAAAGAATATTTATTTTTAATCAATCAGAGTTTTCTCCATCAGTGCATCATATGAACTACTACTAATTCTAAGATTTTTCAAAACTAAAAACAATACTTCGTTTATTTTTTATAAAAAATGACGTTACAGTTTTTTTATCTAATTTTTAAGCTTCGAAAAATCGAAGAAAATGATCAAATCAACGTATAAACAAGTTTTTTTTTTCTTCAAATTACTTCTAATAAATTTTATGGAAAAAGAATCTTATATCTAGTCAAAAAAAAATCGTTTTATACAAATTTTGTCGAAAAACTACAGATATCACGGTTTTTAAAAATTTAAAGTTCGATTGAATAATTGAATTTAGAAGATATGTTGTCGATAAATTCACAAACTGATAGAAAAATTAATTGGATTTAAGAAACAGAATTTTCAACCAAAAAAGTAAATTTGAAAAATTGGATTGTCTCTTGAATTAAGTCGAACAATTTTTGAACCAAGTGAGATTTGATTAAACAAAAAAAAAATTTTTATTCAGAAACGTGATTCAAGACAATCAAATGCTTCTTAACAATCTTTGTGGTTTAAAATTTTTCCTCTTGAATCAAATTAATTTCTTATCAGTGTTGTCTTAAAAAATTGAAATCTAGAGAAAATTGATTTTTTTATCTTTGTAATAAAAAATAAACCATCACATATATCTTATTTCTCAAAGCTGTTTTCTATGGCACAGTTTGATCTCTTAAGTACATACGAGCACGGTGATAACTTTGGAATATAGGCTTATTTTTTATAGGCAGTTTAAATATAAACATATGAATTCTTAACATCCTTAATATTAACGAAGTAATTTTGAATAATTAAAATAAAATTCAAAACAAGATTGAGTAATAAAAAAGTATGTATTGAATTGTCCATAGACTTATAAAATGTATAATTTTTAATTTTCATGAATAAAAGAACAAAACAAATTTTAAAAGAATTATTGACTATTATTGTCGTTGAATCTAAGGACAAAAGCCATTTTACTTTATTTTACCTATTTTCTATAACAATTGAGTTGACTGTTAATAGTAAATTAATTAGATTCTTATGAATTAAATTAATGATCGAGCGGAACTAATCAATTAAAAGAAATAATTTTACGATCAGTATTAGTAATAGAATATTCTTCTATAATAATAAAAAAATTAACTCGATTTAAGAGAAAAAATCTTAAACCAAAAATATCTTTTTGAAAATTACAATAATTTTGAATTAAGCAAAAAAAAAATTGTTCTCAGTTCAAGTAAATTTTATTTGGTTAAAAAATTGTTCTCTTGGATCAAGTCATTTTTTATGCGAGTGTATTACTTGAATATCCACCTGAGTAAAAATTACAAACTCATACCTAACACTACTTTCCAATTTCTTTAAGCCACCAAATTCATTTTCATCTGAATCAGATTCACAGTCACTTAGAATTTTAATCTGACAGACATGATTTATTAACTCGTCTTGAGATAAATTTTCGCACGTGCAAGTCGGCATTTTTGATCGTGAATAATGGAGCTTACTCTATTAAAAACAAAATTCACATAAAAATAATAAAGTTTATGATAACTTATATTCACAAGCACTAGATTTGAAATTCGAATAAAACTTTGAAGTTTGTTTTGGTTGTATAATAACTCAAACTACAAAACTAATATTCTGAATGCACTGACGCTCTCCGAATGGACTGATTCGATTGTAACAGCAAGTCTTATGTTACCCCTACTTTTTCAATTCTTTCGATCCTTCACTTCTTCGTAATTATCTTCCCCCACTGGTTAAGCTACTGATTTTTTTTTCCTCGTAGCTGCATCAGCTTTTTTTCGTTCGACATTCCGATCACCGATCACTCAAAAATTCTACACCTACAGAAATTTACTGGATTTATTGTTAAAATAATATATACATATTTATATAGGATGTATATGTATATATTTTTTTTTAATACTTCCGAGAATGTATTTATCATCCATGGTAATAAATCACAACATGTAGACTAGTTTTCATTAACAATTGACCTGATTTGAAGAGTGCCTCAATAGTGCAATGCAATGACAAAAGCTCATTTTCTGTATCAAGATTCAACTTCTTGACTCGTTTGGAAATTTAAACTCCTTATAGTCGCTGGTGCTTAGAAAAGTTTATAACTTTCATAGAATTACGAAAAATTTTATTTATTATGTTTATTGTGTATACGTATATTTACACACTTGGCTAAATTCTAGGTGACAGAAACTATGGTGCTATTATGAAACATGTTACGATTAACTTTATAAATAACATTATATATTGGATTCTATGTACAATATTTAAGCAGGTAAAATAGAAAGCAACGTTTATTATAAATTATAACTTATAAACATACAAAGGTTTACTGACTAATATTAAATAAAAAGTCTAAAATAGTTTCGAAAAAGAATTTATATGAATGGATTACCGGAAGATTAAAATACAAAATGATGAGTTGTCTTACTTTAAAAACTTGACATTTAAATTTCGAATGAAAAATGCAAAATATGGAAATTAGAGTAAATTAAAGCATAGTTGATCAATAACTTATTACTTTTATGTTTATATATACGCTCTAATTCATTTTCATTTTTAAATAAACAATGTATGGTAGATAAAAACATATTTTTCATAGAAATGTCACGTTATGGTCTTATAGATAAAATATTGAATATCACAGATACAGGTAGGGGGAAGGGCAAAATGAGGTACCCCAAAATTTGATAAAGTAAATTTTGTCTCTTAAAAGCTTCCCTGAATAAAAAAAAGTATTGAAACAAAGGAAAAAGTATTGAAAAGTATTGGATTGACTAGAAGACCAATACTTTTCAATATTTTTTTCTTTGTCTCAATACTTTTTTTTTATCAGGGTTATTATAAAATGTTTAAAAATATATCGCAACGTCATTTTCCGTGATATAAGAAAAAAAAATTTTTTTCTGTTCTAAAATATTTGTAATAGTATATTACACTACAAGGGCAGAAAGTTTGAGATTCCTGCACTGCGCGCCATATGCCCGAGGCGAAGCCAAAAAAAAAAAATTCTATTAAATTTTTGTGACAGAAAAAAATGACTCCAATTAAAAAACCAGAAGCTAAAAAATCAAATTTATACTATTTATTATTTAGCAAGCGACGCCAAATATATTTATTTTTTACCTCAAGGTCAGGAGTCATCTCCTTGAATCTGATTGAAGGGAATGGGTAGTCCCAGAGATCCATGTAATGAGGCTCGCCATTCATACCGTACCCGACAATTTCACGTTTGCCGATTTTCTTAACGTACGGTGGCACAAAAGGAACCTCCTCATGATGTACGCTGGACATCATCCTCGACGGCACGACTCGGCTGTTGAGCCTCAAGCACGTCACCAAGAGCTTCCCAGCCATTGTCTGAAAAATCGATAGTTTATCAAATATAATTAATTTCATTCATTTATACACTCAATTTTTCCGATGTTGCAATTCATGTTAATTTATTAATTAAAACTCAACATAACATCTTGACCATTGCATTTATTATTAATAATTGTTATCGCGAAATTTTCTCATGCTGATTACCTAATCGATATCACAGCTACTCTAAGTGGTAATATTTGTCAATCAAAACTAGCTTCACTGATTAAAAAAATTCTCTTAATTGCCTGTCACTACAGTTGGGAGTTTTTTCTTTACTAATTAGTGTTATTTTATTAATAAAACAATAATTACCGTCTGTGATTTTTTTCCTTAAAACACAGTAGAATATGGCTACGATGAAATCTTCAAGCAGCCATTAAATAAAGGCCAGACTCGGAGACGGCAAACTTTGTAGAGGGAAGCACTTGATTATTTTACTATTATACTGAAGTTAGCTGATAGCTGTCAATTTTTTTAATTTTTATACAAATTATAATGAAAAAAAAGCTTATAAAAATTTCTATTAAAAAATTATTTATAAAAAATTGCTTTTTTAATTTTTTAAAATTTCTACATTTCAATTTTTTTTCTAATTTTTTTTTTTGCACTAATTTATTTTTTTTTTAATTCTAAAATTTATTAAATATCTGCTATTTTAATTTTCATTAAAATAAATATTTATTTTCTGTAATTAACTCAGTTTCAACCTCAAATCATTGACACATAACAAGACAGATACATTCATAACAATCACAAGTAAGGTTAGGCTTGTAAACATAAGTAATAGAGTGAGCGCGACTACCGACTTTCGGACTTTCTGCCGCCTCGTGTCTCGTTGTCAGTGCATGAATACATTTTTTCGGCTCCCCGTCGTAAAGCGCATGCGCGACTCGACCACGGCATAAATGTCAGGCTTTCTGCAGTGAAATCGCAACAGAAACCCCGTACTTTCGACCAGCGTAGTAAGAAAAAAATTTTTTTTCGTGCTATTCTTTGAAATTGCGTGAGAACTATAGTTCAAAAAAATTTTTGATCAGTAGATCTATAAACTGGCACCTCATTAAAGAACTCTTTCTTTCCATTATGATACTAGTTTTCACTTGATTTAAACGAAACTGGTCAAAAATTACCGATAAAATCGGAAATTTCCGGTAACTGCAAATTCTTGTTTACGTCATACAATAGCTCTTAAAATAGATGTTTATGATATTGTATTATCTTACAGTAAAGGGCATTAAGTTCATGCGTCACATAGTTAAGTAAGCAATAGTATGCACGTCACTAAAAAATATTTTGAAACACAATTAATTGTTAATTTTTAAGTTAATTGCATCAACAAAAATAACACAAATTACAGTTGACTTTTATGATTTATTTCTACCGATCAATACTTATCTGCATATGCACAGAAAAAAAAATTAACTTGATTCAAGAGAAAAATTCTTGAACCAAGAATATAATTTTGAAGAGGGTAATTGTCTTGAATCAAGACGAAAAATTCTTGAATTAAGTAAAATTTCCTTAAATCAAGAAAAATTTTCTTAAATCAAGAATTTTTCTACTCAAACCAAGAATATTGAGCTCTTCAAAAATATATACTTGATTCAAGAACATTTTTTTTTCTGTGTGGTATTTTCCAGTCGATAATTTACTCAGAATTAATACCAAATGAAATATCTTCCGATGTATCATCAATTTTTTGTCTTGCACTCAGATCATAAAAATAGCTACTCTTTATTCACCCTTATTTTGGAAAAGAACGTTTTAGTTGCGACTGGGATAAAATGTGTCGTGCTATATGTAATATATTTACACATGCTAGCATATACTAAGGGTGTGGCATACTTGAGAAACTTCTTTTATTAAAATTCTATGAGAGTAGAAATGACAGAACATAAAAATGAGGGTTGTGCGTGAGTTTCTCAGTATTTAATTTCCTCTTTCCCTCTTATAGATAAATCTAAAAATATTTTACGTTACTCGCCTTTATTGTTATCTAACAAGATAAATTAAATATAAAATAAAATAATGGTCTATAAATTGTTTCTGTAAAAAATACTTACAAAATTGCTCAATATAGAAAAAAATTCTTGGTACAGTTTTTCTATTGAATCAAATTTTTTGTAACCGAACAATAAATTAATCTAGACTTTATTGTTACGCAGTTAAAACATTAACTACGTAAGTATTGTTTATTTATATTCATATAGCTAAAAGCGCAACTTTCTCGTGGTTTATAAAGACGCGTGTTTTATAAAATATATTTTTCTAAAATTAAAATGTATTACAATAATATATATGTAGATATTTATACAGAATTAATATTATTTTTATATATAATATACACAATATTAAAATAAAATTAATCTTTTTCATTTGTATAGAAGCTCGCTTCACTAGTTTAATAAATTTGTAATAAAAAAAAAAAAAAATATATATATATACACTGATATATATATCAGTAATTTATTTGTTAGATCGCTCTTATTAATTATGAACATTTTTGCAAATCTTTTAAAATTTTCCAACCCATCTCACTACAACCATCGATTTATACAAAATCTGTTTATACTTATAACACATTCGAACTTCATAAAACGTTGAATGGTTTAAAAGTCTGAGAGCATTAAACAAACCCTTATTAATAGACTCTGATCGATTGGAAACTGTTGCCAACGAATTGATTCAAGCTTTTGTTATTTTGCATTTAACTTGCGGGATATTTAAAAAGAATGTTTTCTTCTAATTTATATAAAGCCTTTTGAATGATACTAAATAATGTTGAATAATGAATTATTTGAATGAAAAAAACATGGTGGAAAAGTAATAAGTTTCTTTAATTTATAAATTTAAAAAAAATTATAAAAATTTTAACATAAGTTATTTCCATTCAAACTCGATTTTGTTCTTTAATAAATAATCTAACATAAAATTCGACACTGGAAAGATAATTGTTCAAAAGACAAAGCTATCGGTTTGAAAATGTTTTTAATTCAACATCTTTATAAAATTTTTTTTATTTCGCAAGGTAAATAGAAAATTAAATACAAATAAATGATCATAGAATAAACAGAAATCAGATCACGTCT